TGTCTAGTAAATTGAGGTATAATCAAAATGTAATTCTCTTTTCATACTTAATGCTGATATCCTGAAAAATTTTTTAATTAAGTAAACAATACTAAACTGATCTTGGTTTAGTCATATCATATGAATTTAAAAAGTATTTAAATTAGTTCTTATGTTTCTGAGTATTGTAGGAATATTTAATTTATATAAGTGCCTATTTTTTTGAAATCCACTTAGAATATGAGTCTTTTAAGGAATTTTATACAATAATTTGGCAATATTGTCTAAAGGTAAGATGATAACACTTATATACATAATATATAGGTATACAGGCACACAAAAATATGAGTTATATTAAAATACAAATGTTTAAATTTTAAAATATTTATTGTGAAAAAAGATACATTACCATTAATCCTGCTAAAAATACTCTCCCTTAACTTTAAACTTACCTCTATATTCTTGTCACTTTTTGAAGCAGGTCTGGAAGTCCTCTTTCATATGTCTTTAATGGCACTGTCATGGATGTCTCAATGCCCTGAATTGATTCAAAACATTTTCCCTTCATGATCACTTTAACTTTGGGGAAGAGCCAGAAGTCACCTGGTGCAGATCCAGTAAATAAAGTGTGTGAAGACACAATAATGTTTTTACGAGCCTGCCTTTTCATTGAATGGCACTGGCTAGCAGCATTCATTCTACAGAACTGTTTAAAAAATCACATCTCATAAAGATGCTCATGACTTCCAGAACTGCTTCATTAAATGGCCAGAATGATGGGCAAGTGTGTTCAAAGCAAGAGAGAATACTTTGAGGGGGATTAATGGCAGTAATGGTAATAAATTTAAAAAATTTAAACATTCATATTTTTATCCTAACTCATTTCTGTACCCATGTCTATAGATGATTTATACAGGTCATATCTTCTTACCTATAGATAGTATTGTCAAATTATTTTATAAAATCACCATATAATTGGATTACTCTGTGTAGAGACCTTATAATTTTCAAAGTAATAAAAACTCACTGTAGTTTACATAAGATTTGGTTTTCATCTTCATCCCACTTTTATTTGATTTGTTTTTCTGGCAGATGAAACAAGTTGTTATCTGTTCAGTACTAGGGATAATTTTTTAATCAATATTTATGGGGAAAAATATAAATTGCTTTTATTGTGCATTCATTCATTCTGTCTGTCTGTCTATCCATCTATCTTAGGGAGGCTGTGGCTAAGCCTCTGGGGGTCATTTTAGTCAGCTGTGAAGCTGCTTTTCAAAGACTGGATTGAGGTAAGGGAAAAGGCATTAGGTTTTTAAAGTGTATTTTAGGTGCTGATTGATGTTCATAAGGAGAAATAAAATTTCTCAAGTTGTGTGTAAAGAAACATAGAACATGTGAAGTAAGGATGAGTAAGCCTCAGTTCTGGGGTTGAAAATCAGTTATTTCTTCCCATGTTTGCATTTTAAAGAGAGACTCAGTTCTTGAGTAGATTTTTAAAGTGACTTCTCTGCAAGAGTCTTCAGGGCATATTTTTCTATTGCTGGGTTTCATCCTGAGCAAACCGTAAATTCTTATGTTTGAGGGCTAGTCAACCAGAGATTCGTAGGCACTGACTGAGGAGACAAAAACCTAGGGCAGTTACTGTTTGAGTGTTTTTTCTTTAGGGCAAGACAGTCCTTTTTCCAATGTTCTGATTTTTCTAGTGTCTTCCAGCATCTCCAGATGACCAAGGGAGCTTTGGGATTGATAAGAAGGATGGGAGGGTTCAAGGTTACTCCTAGGGAGAGCTATATTCTGTTTTTATGAGACAGTAAGTCAAGGACAGTTATTTTTAATTCTTCAGGGATCTGAGGGACAGCCTCAACAATAATATCAAAGGGCCAGTCTGCTCTTGTACTTGTATGGTTTACTTCTTTGTGTCAGAGAAATGATTTTTCAAATGCTGTGGAAATGAAAAGATTCCTGTGTTCTGGGGCTTCTTGATTTACTGAAGCATGCTCCTGGAACGATTCCACAAAGCCTTCAGGATATGTGGCTGCTGTTCTGTGAGTGAGATTTTACTTTTGCCCTTAACCTTAAAGGGAAGGCTTCTGTAAAAGTTCTTTTAGAGCTTGATTTGTAAAAAGGTATAGGGAGGCATTTATGGTGGGTGCAGACTAATTTTTGTTTTAAATATGATTTTTGTTCTTTATTTTTGTTAAGGGACTCTTTTAGACTAGTCTTGGTGCTTTTTATGTGTATTTTTTCTCCATTTGGTTTTCTCATGTGCATAATAGAACATTGTTTTGGGGTGGGTGCTCTCTGAAACAAAAAAATATTTTTCTTGTCTAAAGTTGTGTGTGTGTGTGTGTGTGTGTGTGTTGTGCCCTGGGGATCATACCTAGGGCCTTTTTCACACTAGACTAGTGCTTTGCTAAGCTACATCCTTTCCTCCTAAAGTTGGATATTTCATTAATCACTTGGACAATTCAAAGTTGCTAGCTCCTTCTTCCATTGATTCCATGGTGACATCAGAATTGATAAGCCTGAGCTGTTTTACCTTCCAAATGCCATACTATAGATACAGTTGCCAAATATGAAATACCAAATTTCCTACTGAAGGATCCTTTAATTTTCTGTCTTGTGGGTCACTTTTTCACCAGGTAGCTAGCAGAATACACACGCTGTAGAGGTGTAGTAGCCCCATACAAGTGTTTAAGTCTTCCCATTTTAACACTTCTTTTGGGAATGCTCTTTTTGCCAGTACCATATATGTTCTCAGGTTAACAAGGACCCCTGCTAGTTGTTTAGTGCTACTAATAGCCACCCAATATTGACATTGCCCCAGTCTGGTATGTATTATCACAGTTTTCAAGTTAGAGCTGGTCCTGCAGAGATACCTGACTTTAACCATATGGTTCCCAAATATTCAGTGTTCCTCAGGAGCAAAATTATAACTGGATTTTTTCTCATCCTTATATGTGCTGCTCATTATTTTTATCCAGCCTCACTTGTTCATGGTTCACTCCATGAATTTTAGAACATTCATCTCTCAGTTCCATTGCTGACACCTCAGCCAACCATGGAGAAGACATGGTTTATGTACACTTTTTCATAGTACAGCATTGGGCACAGACGCCTCTGGTATGTTAACCATTCTTTCTCTTGCCTTATACTATAGCTAGTGGGACCGTCATTTTCTCCTTTCCAGAGAGGTTGACAGTTTGGGAAAGGTATAGTTCTAGGTAGCATGACACTGAATTTAGTGCACATCCTGCACTGATAAACTTGAGTTCCTCTGGTCCTTGCCTGGGTAGCTGTTACAGGTCTTCTGGGGAATGCTGTGCTGATGGTATACTTCCAGACTAGTATTTGTTGCCTGCTTTGCAGGAGATTATGTTGTTGCATCAACATCAGGGTGGAGGCCAGGTACCCTTCCTCTTGATGTTGATCAGATCCGCCCCAGTGTTGGTTAGGTGTGGAACCAGAAGGAGCTCCTAGCAAAAGTTGCTGTCTTGTGGATGTGCTAGTTTCTAATGATGATAGTGTGACTCTCGGACAGATCCAGTGAGGACAGGCACTTATGGAGCTGAGAGAATGTGCTGTGCCCTAACTGCCATAGCTGATTCCCTTGCAGGGCTAGTACAAGGTCTGGTTTGGGGGTTAGTAGAGGCAAATCTATGCAGAACCCACAAATTACAGGAGCAGCAGCCATATACCCCATACTGTGGGCCCCACACTGGCTACTACTCCAGATCCTAGATCCCGCGCTGTCTCTCAATTCCTGGTCTGGCCTGTGGTTATCACCAGTCACCTACATGCTCCCTTGTCCTGGACCTGCCACTAAAAGTCCTTGTAAACATAACAGTTTGTTTTTTCAAATAAAAGGATCCATAATCTGATCATTCACCAAATTTAGGATCTCCAATGTTATGCCCATTCCAAAATATGATTCAAAACTCAGAAGCCTTTATGTGACTTAACTGTAAGCCATGTATATATAGCCAAAGATAACTTAGTAATGAAATATTCCAGGAGCTCATTGTTGACTCTTCTGAAGTCTGTGCAACAGTAAAAATCCCAGAAATAAAATTCTTTATTGAACACGGTCAATCACCTGGGATTTTGATCAGTATGACACCAAATAAGATTCATTCATAAAATTGGATTCATTGGGATGGAGTTTAGTGTTAGAGCATGTGCTTAGTATGTGTGCTGGGTTCTGGTTTCAATTCCCAGTGCCTCTCAAAAAAGTAGAATTCATTTAAAATGAGGCAGTTTTCCACAAGTATTCTGTTACATGGTGAAGACCTAGGACCAGTTATTCCTTTGTTACTTTTATGCTTAGGAGAGAAATAGAGGATCTTTAACATCTAGACTAAAATAATTTAAATTTGTAAACTCATTGTTTATGATTTTTCTCATTGCAAGAAATTAAGGTAGTATCTTGATTAGTAAAATATGCATCTGTTAAATTCATGGGTCCAGCCTATGTTTTCTGTAAAGAAAATTTGCAGTATACAGTGTATGGTAGTATAAGACTATGTTCCTCTAACGCAGAAGTTTAATTGTACCTATTATAATGAATTTATTACACTTTAGAAATGATAATGGTCCAAAAAGTATGCTTATCCTGTTAAGAAAAAAAAATCTTTGGAATTATAATGCATATATGATTTGAAAGGCCTGCAGTAGAATAGTTCAAACTTAATCTTTGATCAGTATTTGGCTCTTTTGTTACCAGGATATAGCTCAGCAGCTTAAGTGCCTACCTGGCAATCACAAGGTCCTGAGTTCAATTCCTGATACCAAAAAACAAAAACAAACAAAAGACTTGAATCTCTTTTTAATTGTCTTCTTTTTTGTTATTAATGGATCTTAATGGTGGTTTGTAGATTTTTGTAAATCTGTCTAGATTCTTGGACTGAGACCCATAGGAATGGGCTGTGCCCTTTCTCTGTACTCATTCTTTTTTACAAAATCCTTGAATGTAATTGAAACATATATTTTGTTATTTTCCCTTGTTGTAAAAACCTCACTAGGTTGGTGGATACTGGGATAAGTCCTGTAGCACAGTGACTCAATTGAAGGAAGGTCTCAACAGAATCCTTTGCCTAATCCCCTACAACGTGATCAACCAGTCAGTGTGGGAGTGTATTATGCCAGAATGGCTGGAAGCCATCAGAACAGAAGTCCCAGATAACCAGTTAAAAGAATTCAGGGAAGTATTAAGGTGGGTAAGTAGTTTAATGAAGTCATTGTAATTATAATGCTATTGAACATGTACTGTGTGCCAGGCACTTTGGTAAGCACTTTATGTAATCTCCTTTACTTTTTAACTATCCTTTGGTGAAATTTAAAGCCCCCAAATGGAATAACTGCTGTAAATTCAGCTAAGATGACTTAGAATTGTTCAGAAAAGATTTTGTTTTCTGTGGAAAAATACATATACACCATGTTGTCCAAGAAATTTAGGATATGTTGGGAAAGTACAAAGGGAAATGTGTTTAGATGCTGCAGAGCAACTCTGATTCTTTAGAAATGCGGTTGCTTCTGTTAAACGTAATATGAATATGAACATTAATGTTATTGCAACTGTATGGATGATTTATATCTATTCTAATGACATTGACTGTTCTCTTACAGAAAAAATGAGATGTGTTAATAGCAGTTCAGAATACAAACTAAAGGTTTGGGCTCTCCAAACAGGGTAGAGCTAGAAACACTTCAGTGGGATTAGTAGGCCCTAGTAATATGCCCACTGGTCATCTATTTTTGTTGATCTGCTTTCCAGCAAAATGTTTGATATTGAACTTTGTCCTCTACCTTTTTCGATGGAAGAGATGTTCGGCTTTATTAGTTGTCGGTTTACGGGATACCCCTCCTCTGTACAAGAGCAAGCTTTACTGTGGCTTCATGTAAGTGAATGATATGGTCGTTTGGGGCAATAATTCTTAGCTGATAAGCTTTAGATACATAGGTACAGTTGGGAAAAGTTTTTCCAGGTTCCATAAATGTGTATGTTTGCTGAGGATTTTTGTAAAGTTATATTTCATACTCATAGACAAATGATTAAATTTCAAATAAATGAAGCTCTAGAGGTGATTAATAAATTTATGTAATAGCATTATTAAATTCATAAGTCTACTGGTTTTTATAAATTCCAAGCTGTCTAGGATTCTGAGGAATCTTTGATATTAAATGGATCTTTTACTTGGAAATGCTAAGAGGTACTGATTTAAGGAGAGGCTCATGCTGTTCTCTCAGCCTGGAATGACTTTCCCTTTTGTCTCCATTTGTGAACTCTTAGCTTATCTTTTTCCCCCTTCTTTTCTCATTTTTTAAAGTTTTACCTTCTTTCCTTTTCTCCTCACCCCTCCCTTGTTCACCTCCTCATTTGATTTCCTTCCTATTTCACAATGCCAATTACACATTTTCATGTTTATTTACACTCTTGGTTTCTTATACCAGAGGAACAACATGCTATTTGCCTGTGTTCAATTTATTTCACTTAAGAGTGTGATCTCAAGGTGCATGCATTACCTAGAAATGTCTCAAGGTTATCCTTTTTATGGCAGAGTAGTACTCCATCGTGGGGAAAAAACCACATCTTTATCCATTCACCAGCTGATGGGCATTTGGACTGTTTGCAAGATTTGGCTATTATGAACTCTGTCAAATGGCATACATATGATGCTTTTAATTCTTTGGGGAAGATACCAAGAAAAGGAATAGCTGGGCCAAATGGAACCTCTAGTCCTAGTTTTTTGAGGAATCTCCCCACTCATTTCCCCAGTGGTTGCATCAGTCTGTACTCCCACCAACAGTGGAGAAGAGTTCCTTTTTTCTCCACAGCCCTGCTAGCATGTGTTATTCATTGATTTCTTGATAATAGTCATTTTTTTTTCCTGGGGTGAGATGGAATCAAGTATTGTTTTAATTTGTATTTCATGAATAACTAGTAATGTTGAACATTTTAAAGTATATTTATTTGCTGTTTGTATTTTTTTCATCTCAGATGCCTACTTTTGGATTGAGTCTTTAAATTTGGAGGGTTTTTTAAAAAGAATTCTTTACATATTCAAGATGGCATTCCTTTGTCTGAGCAATATCTTGCAAAACTTTTTTCACACTGTGGGTTGTCTCTTCACTCTGTTAGTGATTCTCTTGCTGTGCAAATGCTTTTTAATAAGATGAGATCCCAGTTGCTGATTGTTTGTGGTAGTTCCTTTGAGGCTGAGGTTTTGTTCATAAAGTCTTTTCCTGCACCAATGTCTTCTAGAGTTCTACCTATTCTATTTTCAGCAGTTATTTTTTGTTTTAATAGTTAGATCTTTGATCCATTTAGATTTTATTTTAGTGCATGGTGAAAGATATGGGTCTCATTTAATCTTTGGAAAGCCAGTTATTCCAAAAGTATTAATGATGCTATCTTTCTTCCAGTGAATGTATTTGACACCTTTGTGAAAGATAACTAAGTATACATCAAGTTGACTGTGCATCTTCTGATCTGTTCCGTTGATCCTTCTAGTACCATGCTGTTTTTATCACAGTAGCTCTGTACTGTAATTTCAAGTCTGGGATTGTGAAGTGCCCCCACCTTACTTTCGTTGCCCAGAATTGGCTTTGCTATTCTAGGTGATGAATTTTAGGGTTATTTTCTCTAGTTCTCTGAGATTCGGAGGTTTGATGAGGATTGTATTGAATCTGTATGGTAGTATTGAGAATATGGCCATTTTCACTATATTGGTTCTTCCTACCCGAGAAATGGGTATATTTCCATTTTCTGATATCTTCTTCAATCTCCTTTATCAGAGTACCATAGTTTTCAACATAGTTGAACTAGTTTCAATGTATTGAACAATGTAGTTTTACTGCTTTTGTTAGATTGATTCTTATGTATTTCATTTTGTTGGATGCTATCATAAAAAGTGTTGTTTCCCTAATTTCTTTATCAGTGAGTTTGTTATTCATGTACAGGAAGGCTATTGAGTTTAAAAAGAATTGTTGACTTTATCCAGCTATGCTACTGAATTTGATTATTAAATCTAGAAGACTTTTGGTGGAGTTTTTGGAGTCCTCTATGTAGACTATCATGCCATCTGAGAATAATGATAATTTAACTTCTTACTTTTCTACCATTATTCCTTTTATTTCTTTTTCTTGTCTGGTTGCTCTGGCTAAAGTTTCTAGAACTATATTGAATAAGTGTGATTACAGTGGACATCATTGTCTTATTCTTGATTTTAGAGTAAAAGCTTTCAGGTTTTGTCCATTTGAGGTGATGTTGGCTGTTGGTTTGTCATACATGAGTTTTATCAGATTGAGATAAAGACCATCCATTCCAATTTTCTGTAGGGCTTTTATCATGAATTGGTATTGGACTTTGTCAAAAGCTTTTTCTCTATCTGTTGAGGTGATCATATTGTTTTTGTGTATGGCTATGTTAACACAGTGTGTTAGTTACTTTTCTTTAATTACTGAGACAAAATATTCAACACCAATAATTAAAGGAGAATAGGTTTAATTAGCTCACACTTTGTGAAGGTTTCAGTCCATAATCAGCTGGCTCCAAGACAGGGTGGCACATGGTGGAGGGGCCATGGTTTGTGGTAGTAGAAGACAGCAAAAGCAGTAAGAGCAAAAAGAGGGGAAAGCAAGCCTCTTTTTCTCCCTTATATTGTGTGCAAGCTATGCATCTTAGGGTGAGTTCTTTACACCCACACCATCTCTACACCCTCCTCTTAGGCTGAGGACATTTACAAAGTGAGGACCCTCGCCCCCTGTTGTGTCATCCAGCTTCTAAACTTTTCAAGCTGACACAATGAATCAACCACTACAATGTACTGGAGTGTAAACAGCTACCCCAGGAGATGTCCTTTATACCCCAGAATATAGAACTACTGAGCTTCTCAGCCGAGCCTCTAAACTTCTCAAGTTGACACAATATATCAGCCATAACAATCCACCCCGTATCAGCCTGGCAACCAGGCACATTTCTTCAAACTGATCTCCAGATACAAAAACGTGTGTATTATCATTTCACAATTTGAACATTATAACACAGGATTAATAATCCTTGAGAACCAGTATTAGGGGCATCAACATTATATTACATTAGAACCATAACATTTCACCTTCGGTCCCCAAAGAATCATGCACATCCCTTTATGCGAAAGGGATTTAGTCCATATAAGAGTTGCCAAAGTCCTAACAATTTCAGCAATGCTGAAAAGCCAAAGTCCCAAATCTCTGAGCTATAAGGCAAACTCTTAGCTGCTAGCCCCTGTACAAATGAAAAGTTTGTTCAACATTTCCAACATTCAATGGCCCAAGGTAAACCTTTACATTCCAAAAGTTACAAATGGGAATACAAAGGTTTGGGACCAAACCAAATCCAAAATCCAGCAGGGCAAGCATTAAGTCCTGTAGTTCCATGTGCGGCATCCAATGCAACCTGTGGCAAGTTGTGAACTCCAAAGGGCCTGAGTGACTCTGCCCCTATCACACTTTGAATGGTTATAGCTCCCATGCCTTCTCTCTTGGGCCTACTCTTGCAGGTTTCCTAGATGATCCACATTTCTGGCTTTTCCAAAGTTCTGGGCTCCCCACTGACCTTTGATTTTACCCTCACAGCTTCACAGTGTGCTCTCAGGGGCACACTGCCTGGACTCCCAGGCCTTCTGAAATTGAACTGAAAGTCTTTTTAACCCTAACTTTTGCATTTTGCCTGCACCTAAAACCAGTGGCATGTGAATGATGCCAAGGTTTGCTGCTAACTGGAGCATGGCTTTCCTCTCTTGAGTGTAGGGATCAAGTGCCTGGATTGCTGGGCACTCTAAATCCAATTTTTCTTTCTTTCTTTCTTTTTTTTTTTCTTTTTATCAGTACCAGGGATCGAACTCACTACTGCCTGCTTGCAAGGTAGGCGCTTATGCCACTGAGCTAAATCCCCAGCCTCTCTGAATCCAATTCTGAGGAACAAATTTTCTATGCTGCCACCATTCTGAAATATGGTGCTTTGTGGCTTCCTCCTCTAAGCAGATTCTTTCATTTTGTGGTTTTGAGCATGCAAAGTGTGGAGACTTGCTGCTTTTTGTGATGCCTTCAGGTCATCTTATATATTTTCCTGTTCCTTCTCAGCAATTGAGATCTTGGTTTTATCTTTGTAGTACACAGCTTTACTAGAGTTTCATTTTTCACAACTGATTTATTATATTTATTGGTTTGGGTATATTAAACATCCCTTCATACCAGGGATGAACCCTACTTGGTCATGGTGTATAATATTCTTGATGATTTGGTTCATTCTGTTTGCTAGTATCTTATTGAGAATTTTTTCATCTGTGTTCATTAGGGAGATTGACTTGTAGTTCTCTTTCTAAGTTGGGTCCTTCTCTGGTTTTGGTATCAGGGCACTGCTTGCTTTCAGGAGTCAATTTGGGAATATTGCTTCCTTTTCAATTTCATTAAGAGTTTGAGAAGTAGTGGTAGTAGGTCTTCTCTAAATTTCTTGTAGAATTTAGCAATAAATCCATCAGGGCCTGGGATTTTCTTTGTTGGTAGGTTTTTAATTACATCTTCAATTTCATTGATTTCTCTAGAATTTTTATATATTCTTGAGTTAGCTTTGCTCTTTTTTTAAAAAACTTTTTATTGGTACCAGGGATCGAACTCATAACCGCCTGCTTGCAAGGCAGGTGCTTATGCTGCTGAGCTAAATCCCCAGCCCTTATTCTTGAGCTAGCTTTGATAATTCATATGTATCTAAGAATCTGTCCATTTCTTTTGCATTTTCCATCCTATTGAAATTCAAGTTCTTGAAGTAGGTATAGATGATCTTCTGTATTTCTGAAGTATCTCTTGTGACCGCACACTTTTCATTCCTAATTGTGTGGATTTGAGTCTTTTGTTTCTT